GAGTGACAAAGTAGGCTTGTTTGGCAGCATAATATGAGAAATAGAGAAAAAAAAAAAAAAAGCGCCACAAACTAAATAGAACAAAAGCTGCACTCCTAACCAAAAAAAAGGGTACAAATGTGAATAAATCAAAGAGTGCGCTAAATATAAGTAAATACAAAAATTATTTGTTTCAAATAATGATGTCCGTGATAGAAAGAATTTTATATAAAAGTCCATCCACCATAACAAAGTAATTAAACAGTTCTGAAATCTTGTATAAATCAAACACCGTGCAAAAAAAATCCACCACCGAATGAAATGGGTACACTCACCAGAGCTCCATGCTGACCAGATTATAAGTCAGCAAAGATAGCGTTTGCTCGGGGAGCGATGATCAGCAGAAGTAATCCAAACTGGGAGAAATATACTGCAAGCAGCCAGTTGGCACAATATGGAATAGCCTTAACAGCAGGTAGTCATCACATCTCCATACCATAGATCATGTTCGGGGAATCAAAAAAGGAAATCATGGTGCAGTACGCTTATAACCAAAATCTTTTATTAAAATGTCAGAAATGCACTCACAAACAGGGTGTCTAGCTGACACCAGCAATGACAGCCTCAAGAAAACAGGGACGAGCCTCGCTCACCGCGATATCACAGCTGACAGTCTACGAGGAGCGTCCAGACGTCACATCCAAAAGAAGCCCCGTCCTACTAGTTTCATCATCAGACGTCCTCACGGGGCGGAAAGTTTGGCAGCATCAAGGGAGGAATTGTATGTTAAGAAAGTAGATTCATATCGGGTGAATGCTTGCTGGGATTTGGTCAGTCTGCCAAGGTTGTAACAGTTGGGGCCTGATGCTTCATGTTTGTTAGAGGAGCAAGTGAATCTAATGTGGATGAAAGCGAACTGTTATAGACAGCAGTGGCCAGGTCAGGGCAGGACAGGGGAGAGATTCTGTCATAGAGTTGGTCAGTTGCAGAGTGGAAAGGAGCAGGGTTCAAGTTGTGAAGGTTTCTGCAGGTAATTGTTTGCTGCTTGGAGGGATAGGTGTTTGAAGACGTGGACACTGTGAAGGTGATGAGATTGTGATCAGAGAGAGGAAAGGGGGTGTTTGTGAGGTTGTAGGGAGTGCAAAGATGGGAGAAAACAAGGTCTAATGTATTCTATCAGAGTGAGTGGAGGACTGTATACATTGTGCTAATGCAAATGATGAGGTTATGTTGAAGAGTTGGGATGTAGCTGGGTTGTTGACATTAATAGTGATGTTAAAATCTCCGAGAATGATAGTGGGTAGTTCAGAGGAGAGAAAGTAGGGTAGGCAGGCGGAGAAATCATCAAGAAAGACACCAGTCCAGGAGGCCGATAGATCACTGCAATCCTCAGAGAAATGGGAGAAAACAGCCGGATGCAATGAGTCTCGAAAGAAGAGAAGGATAGAGAGGGAGGGTTAGGGAGGACTTGAATGGTGCTGAGTGGGGATAAAAGCAAACCAACCCCACCACCTTTCCGACCACTGGGTCTGGGTGAGTGGGTGCAGATGAGGCCTCCATAGGAAAGTGCTGTGGGGGAAGCTGAATCTGCTGCTTGCAGCCAGGTTTCTGTAATTGCTAGTAGGTTAAGGGAGCAGGAGAAAAAAAGGTCATGGGCAGAGGTGAGCTTATTACAGACAGAGCGGGCATTCCAGAGCACACATGAAAAAGGGAGAGTGGTTTATGGGAGCACGGGGACTGATATTAAATTGAGGGGATTGCGGCTATTCCCGGAATAAGGAGGATGCCTGGTGTGTGTGGGGGTGAAATACTGGAGGACCAGGGTTTGGGGAGATATCCCAGAGGTTAGGAGAAGAAAAAGGGTGAGGAAAGTAACATGGGAGCGGGATGTACACGAGTGCACATGCCTTCCAGTCCTGGTGTTTGGGTCAGCAGGAGAGTGAAGTATCAGCAGGAGGTGATGAGAGCAGTAGTAGGGAGATGGTAGCAGTGAGGGTGAGATGTACATGTTTTGGGTGGAGCAGAGGGGTAAAGAAGTGAGATTTTGGGAACGCAGGAAAGTAATATGAAAAGGAGCAGTGGAGGGGACATATTAAAAGGTACACAGAGTGGGACTCAGACTTCTTAGAGATGTTTCCCTGGATGTTTGCTTGCAGTCTGTCCAGCATGCAGTAGAGTTTCTTGCTGTATCTTCCTGCTGCTTGAGTTCTGCTTTAGTTCAACTGCTGTGTTTAACTGCTTCTTAGCACTCCATCAACGCAGCACTCATGCAAACGCATAACCCCATCAGTGACTGTGCCCCCCATCAGTGATCTCCCCCCATAAGCTGTTCTAAATTTATAGGGAGATGGCCAAATGAGCACTCTTCTCTGCCCCAATTAGGAACTGATAAGGATCCCATGAATAGGGGGGGATGCTTCTCAAACACACCAGACACAGACTACAGTCATAAAACGAGTGCAGCTAGAGGTGAGAACTAAACAACATATACAAGAATATACAGTATATACACTAGTTGTTCTGAAATTAGGAGGAGTCAATGTCTTGTTGTAGTTAAGAGTGGAGTAAAGATAGGAGCATTTACCCAGTGAAAGCAGCAGTCAATGCGTTATTACCGGCACTTTCTCTCTCTTAACTCTTTGTACCAGTATCAGGGATTTCAAACCATTATCCCTACCTTCTCTTCCTGGGATAAAACCCACCTGGTCTAGATGTACCCATTGCAGCATCAGGTCCTTCAATTTTATCGCCAACACCTTAGCTTATAGTTCAGTATCTACATTTAATAATGATATAGGCCTATAACTGGCACACTGTGTGCTATCCTTCCCTTCTTTAAGAATAATTATTATATGAGATTGCAGTAACTCCTCTGTCATTTCCAACTCCTCCCCCAGTGTGTTCATATACCTACACATTTTAGGGATAAGAAGATCTCTACATTTTTTTAAATATACCACTGTGTATCCATCCGGCCCTGGGCTTTTACCTCCCACTGTATTCTTTAAGGCTAGATTAATTTCCTCCCGAGTAATAGGTTTTTCGAGGGTCTCTAGTTTTTCTTGCGCTAATTGTGGTAGCCCAACCTCACTTAAATATTTCTGCCTAATTCTTTTCTTTTCCTCTTCCCTTTCCTTTTGATCACCACAGCTCACATTATAAAGTTCACTATAATATTTTTGGAACCTATTTCCCATATCAGAGGTAGCATGCAATATTTCTCCTTTCTCATCTCTAATTTTTTCTATAAAATTTTTGTATTTCTTGTTCTTTAACTTTCTCGTTAAGTATTTTCCAGGTCTATTCCCAAACTGCTATCTTTCCTTTGAGACCCTATTAAATATCCTCCTCTACTCTTGTTCCATAAGGTCTTTTAACTCATCTCTTTTAAGTATTATCTTCTAGTATATATCTGTTCCTCTCTCTTTTTTTTTAAGTGCCTGTTCCAACTTATAAAGCTCTTCTGTCACCATCTTTATTCTTTTCCCTCATTCCTTCTTTTGTTCTGTTTCTGCCGAAATCAGTATTCCTATAATATATGCTTCATGTGTCTCCCAGACTGTGGCCTCAGAGACCTTGTTAGTCTCATTAAGCTTGAAAAATTGTTAAATTTCTCGACTTAGCATTTTCTCTACTGGGAACTTTCTTTTGGGAACCTGTATGAGCATTTCATTTAATCTTCATATAGTTATTTTATCTTGGCCTCCTCCTACTCATAATCTCATTGTGACGGGAGCATGATCAGACATAGACATGACCTCTATGTTGGAACTAACCAATGACTCCAAGGGGTTTATTTACTAAAGCTGGAGAGTGCAAAATCAGACTCACTTCTGCATAGAAACCAATGAGCTTCCAGGTTTCATTGCCAAAGCTTCATTGAACAAGCTGAGGTTAGAAGCTGATTGGTTTCTCTGCAGAAGGGAGTCTGATTTTGGACTCTCCAGCTTTAGTAAATAAACCCCCAACCGTCTATGTTCTATCACTATACAATCCAGTCCAGAATACGAACCATGTACACGAGTGAAGAAGGTATAGTCTCTTTCTCTTGGATGCTTCACTCTCCACGTATCTGCCAGTTGATGTTTATATAATAACCTCTTCAATAATTTCAACTTCCTACTCCCTTCTCTCTGTGTACATGATGACGCATCCAACTGAGGATCTAAACACAGATTCAAATCTCCAGACACGACCAGACTTCCCTCTAAGAATATCACTGGGTTTTTGTTTGGGCAATATATATTAGCTAATGTAAATTCCAATCCTTGTAACTTTCCCCTGAAAAATAAGAACGGCACTCTGTATCTTCCAGTGCACCTTTCAGGGAAAATTTTAATTTTTCGAGGACCCAATTGACACTCCTTTGGCCCCTTTAACTGGTGAGTCAACAGACAGTAGTTCCACACTGGAAGAGACTTTGAATATAATTTGATATTTGTGTCTTGGAGAAATACTACTTCTATAGAATGTTGATGGATTTCCCTGAGTATCTTACAGTGAGGAACAGAAGTATTTGAACACCCTGCGATTTTGCAAGTTTTCCCACTTAGAAATCATGGAGGGGTCTGAAATTCACATTGTAGGTGCATTCCCACTCTGAGAAACAGAATTTAACAAAAAAAATCAGGAAATCTCATTGCATGATTTTTAAAGAATTTATTTGTCTTGCACTGCTGAACATAAGTATTTGAACACCTAAGAAACAGCAAGAATTCTGGCTCTCAAACACCTGTTACTGTGCCTTTAAAAAGTCCACCTCTACTCCACTCATTAATCTAACTTAGTAGCACCTGCCTGAGCTCTTTAAAGACACCTGTCCACCCCACAGTCAGTCAGCCGCCAACTACTGCCATGGTGTCAGGGCTCCCGGGTTATGACCAGAGGTGTGTGACTGACGCAGGGAAACGCAGACTTCAGATATGTGATAAACAATATAATTTATTAACACTAACAATACAAACATAAACGCAGTGCAATACTAAAACATAATACAGTGCAAACAAACCAAACCAACCACCCACAGATAACAGTACATACAAGCAAGCGTCGTCAGGCAGGCCGGGTCAATATCAATAGGGCAGGTAGGTACAGGGGGAGCAAGCGGAGATTGGTCGGGGTCACAGGCCCAGGTTCAGCAGGTAGCAAGCAGCGTAGTACAGAGGGTCAGCAGAGGGATGGTCAGGGTCACAAGCCAGGGGAACAGGTAGCAAGCAGCGTGCAGTACAGAGGGTCAGGCAGAGGGATGGTCAGGGTCACAAGCCAGGGATCAGAACAGGTAGCAAGCAGCGTGGGTACAGAGGGTCAGGCAGAGGGATGGTCAGGGTCACAAGCCAGGGATCAGAACAGGTAGCAAGCAGCGTGGTACAGAGGGTCAGGCAGAGGGATGGTCAGGAGCGAGCCGGGATCAGAGCAGGAGAAGTCAGCAGCGGTTCAGATCAGGCAGGGTCAGCAAAGGAACAGAAACAGGATGCAGGACAGATACAGGGCCCAGGACAAACACAACACCAAGGCAGAGTCTGCAGATCTGGCCATCCCTTAAATACACCAGTATAATCAGTTCCAGGTGTTAGCTGGCTGAAAGGTTGAGTCTCTGATTGCTGGGAGCACCCGCTGGCCAGCCCTGGTACTGCGGATCAAAAGGCAGGTGAGTCCCACCATTGCTGGCCAGTCCATTCCTGACACATGGGCAAGACCAAAGAGCTGTCAAAAGACACCAGAGACAAAATTGTGGACCTCCACAAGGCTGGAAAGGGCTACGGGGCAATTGCCAAGCAGCTTGGTGAAAATAGATCAACTGTTGGAGCAATTGTTAGAAAATGGAAGAGGCTAAAGACGACTGTCAGTCTCCCTTTTAAGATGTTCTGTTAGGGGAGGCTATCTAACAGTGGGTTAAGCACTTACTTTATTTTATCTTCCAATTCTTCCCCATGGGTCTTTTCTGGCAAGCCACGGATCCTTAAATTGTTTCTTTTTTCTCTATTCTCTTGGTCCTCTAATTTAAATGCAAGCTTTCTCTGTTCTCTTTACATCTCTTCCATCTGCGTCTCAAGTTTAGTGATCCAAAGCTCCTGTGTCTCCATTTTCCCCTCTACCTCTTCCACTCATGTCAATATTCGGCCCAAATCATTATGTATTGCCACCAATTCATTTTTCATAGATAACTCCAGTTTTGCAAACATATATGCCATATCGGCTTTTGTGAGTATTTGTAATTAGAGATGAGCGGATCGAACATGGCGAAGTGGAATTTGTTTCAAAGATTGGGAAATATTCGATTCGCGACGAATCCGAAGATTAGCCAACTTCGGATGCACGAATCAAATTTTCCCAAAAATGGCGGCGACATGTGTGGCGACGGAGCGGGGATCTCTGGGAAGGCGCACAGACAAGGCGCGCTGAACCATAATGCATTCATTCATGACATGTGATCGCATTAGCCAATCAGCAGCCAGCCAGCACTGTGTAATGGTGGAGCTATAAATCACGGCCATCTTAGAATTCTCCATTAGCCTCCGGTCATTCAAGAGAGACAGACCTATGTGTATTAGGGACAGAGTTAGGGCCACAGAGACTTTAGGGCCACAGAATCGTTACTCAGGGACACAGAATCGTTACTCAGGGACACAGAATCGTTACTCAGGGACACAGAATTGTTACTCAGGGACACAGAATCGTTACTCAGGGACACAGAATCGTTACTCAGGGACAGACACAGAATTGTTACTCAGGGACACAGAATTGTTACTCAGGGACACAGAATCGTTACTCAGGGACACAGAATCGTTAACTCAGGGACACAGAATTGTTTCAGGGACACTCAGGGACAGACACAGAATTGTTACTCAGGGACACAGAATTGTTACTCAGGGACACAGAATTCATTACTCAGGAACACAGAATTGTTACTCAGGGACACAGAATTGTTACTCAGGGACAGACACAGAAATTGTTACTCAGGGACACAGAATTGTTACTCAGGGACACAGAATTGTTACTCAGGACACAGAATTGTTACTGAGGACACAGAATCGTTACTGAGGGTACACAGAATCGTTACTTCAGGGACATAGAATTGTTACTCAGGGACACAGAATTGTTACTCAGGGACACAGAATCGTTATACTCAGGGACACAGAAATCGTTACTCAGGGACACAGAATTGTTACTCAGGGACACAGAATTGTTACTCAGGGACCACAGAATCGTTTACTCCAGGGAACAGGACACAGAATCGTTACTCAGGGACACAGAATCGTTACTTCATGGGCCACAGAATTGTTACTCAGGGACACAGAATTGTTTACTCAGGGACACAGAATTGTTTACTGAGGGACACAGAATCGTTACTCAGGGACACAGAATCATTACTCAGGGACACAGAATCTTTGTTACTCAGGGACACAGAAATTGTTACTTCAGGGGGACACAGAATCGTTACTCAGGGACAGAGCACAGAATTGTTACTCAGGGACACAGAATTGTTACTCAGGGACACAGAATCGTTACTCAGGGACACAGAAATTGTTACTCAGGGGACACAGAATTGTTAATCAGGGGACAGACACAGAATTGTTACTGAGGGACACAGAATTTGTTACTGAGGGACACAGGAATCGTTACTCAGGGACACAGAATTGTTACTCAGGGACACAGAATTGTTACTCAGGACACAGAATTGTTACTCAGGGACACAGAATCGTTACTCAGGGAACACAGAATTGTATACTCAGGGACACAGAATTGTTACTCAGGAACACAGAATTGTTACTCAGGGACAGAATGTTACTCACAGTAATCGTTACTGAGGAGGGACACAGGAATTGTTACTCAGGGACACAGAATTGTTACTCAGGGACACAGAATTTGTTATGAGGGACACAGAATCGTTACTCAATGGGGGACACAGAATTGTTACTCAGGGGACACAGAATTGTTACTCAGGGACAGACAGAATTGTTACTCAGGACACAGAATCGTTACTCAGGGACACAGAATCGTTACTCAGGGGGACACAGAATCATTACTCGGGGACACAGAATCGTTACTCAGGGACACAGAATCGTTACTACTCAGGGACACAGAATTGTTACTCAGAGGGACACAGAATTGTTACTGAGGGACACAGAATCGTTACTGAGGGACACAGAATCGTTACTCAGGGACACAGAATCGTTACTCTCAGGGACACAGAATTGTTACTGATGGACACAGAATCGTTACTGCAGGACACATAATCGTTACATAGGGACACAGAATCGTTACTCAGGGACACAGAATCGTTACTGAGGGGACACAGAATCGTTTACTCAGGGGACACAGATCGTTTGTCTCAGGGACAGACACAGAAATTGTTACTCAGGGGACACAGAATCGTTACTCAGGGACTCAGAATTGTTTTACTCGGGGACACAGAATTTGTTACTCAGGGACACAGAATTGTTACTCAGGGACACAGAATCGTTACTCTCGGGGACACAGAATTGTTACATTCAGGGACACAGGTAATTGTTACTCAGGGACACAGAATCGTTACTTTCTGCTTCACAACCACTATTGAATTAAAGAGTATGTCAGACAACACGCATGAGGAGTGGCAGAGGAGACAATGTTTCAGGAGCGAGCAGAAGTTGGCAGCAGAGGAAGGGGTCGAGGCAGAGCACTAGTCGCAGCCAGGAGGCCAGTGCTTCCCGGTGTCCCATCCAGCGGTCGTGTCTCTCACCGACATCCCTGCCATCATCGATTGGTTGACTCCGGTTGTCTTCCCTCTTCCCAGGTCACTCTGACACCTACATGCCAACGGTCGGTGGGTACGTCAGACACAACCGTTAGTTGGCATGGCCCCGGGAGCAAGCCCACTGAAATCACGTGTCCTCTACCTGCCCCTGTCCTTTGGTGTTCCCTCACCAACGCGGAAAGTATCGCATGCTGTGGGCTCAGCCCACTGTACAGTGAGGAAGAGCTAAACAGAGGGCGGTCAGGAACGGGGGGAGACCATCCGCACCTCTTCAGCAGCCAGGCGAAGAAGTACTGGCGAGAGGAGAGTGGCTCGGTTAGCCGGTCTAGAGACAGGTCTGTCTCCTGACCCACACGCAGCGAGGGGGCTAGTAGTGACGCGGAGGACCCTAATTGATGATGATGAGGCTGATCGCACTTGGCAGCCTCGTCGTCATCAGGCTATTGCTTCCGCATCATCAGAGAAGAGGGTGCCAGTTTGGCAGCGAGCAAAACAGTCGTGTGGGTTGCCCAGGAGGCAGCGGGTCGCAGCAGTTTTGTCAGTGGAGGCAACGGACCCACGGAGTAAGAGCACCAGCTCCACTGCAGCCTACCACCCACGGCCAGTAGTGGTGCCGGTGTGCACGGATGAACTAGCAGTCAGCCAGTGATGAGTAGCGTGGGGGCAAAGTATGTCCTACTCGGCGTTTTGTGGCATTCAATTTTTCGTCAAGCCGCCTTCGAAGGAAGTAAACGTTAGCCAGTATGTTCCGACTGTTGTGGCCTGAAAGTCAAGCGAGGCCAGGGTGGGCCCATGTATGGGTACTGACAGCGTTTGCGTCAGCATATGCAGCGTCGCCCATTCGGTTGGCCCTGGGAAAAAACCGTTGATAAACAGATACGGCGGTTTCTGCCTGCCCAGCCCCCGCTCCTTCACCCGCGTCCGTTACTTGCTCCTGTCACCCGACGTCCAATCGCACCTCTATCAGCCAGTCCAAAGCTCCAACCCCCCCCCACCCTCTGATGAGAGGGAGTGTGTCGCTCGTTGGCATCTTTCGCTCGTTCAGATGCTCCTTCTCCTGCTACTCTCCTCGTCCACGGGGATTCCGGTCAGAGTCTGTCTTGGAATGCCGTTACCAAGGAAGACAACAGTTTGCAAGCACGCGCCCCGACGGAATACAGAAGCTGATTGTCCTCCTGACCAAGTTCTCTGGGTGCTTGCAGTCCCTCCCCTTTCCAAGTGGTGGACTCATGCACCTTTTCCGAGAAAATGATGGCTTGTGCCGTCGACTTATCAAGAGTCCCTTATGTCAGGAGTGGGCGGAGTCAGAATCAGCTTCAATTGAATGCCATTAACACAGGCCTATTAGTCGTCTCCCACGCTCTGCTGCTGGGGGGACTTTTTTTAAACTTAGGCCTCTGTATGGCCTTCAATTTTAGCATCATTACGCTCCGCCCACTCTGCAATGGATGCCCCTGTAATACCCCGCTCTCCGTCATCTGCTTGCAATGACCCCGTAATCTGCCATGTGCCCCCGTACCGACTCCTCATGTTCTGCTGCCAGGCGGCCCGTAATCTGTCATGGTCCCCTGTACCTCCATCCTCATGCTGCTGCCCCAGGTCCCAGAGTAAGTGTCATGGGTCCCTGTTCGGCCTCCCATTGCTGGCTGTCTCCATCGCCCACACTCTGCCCCATTTTTTGTGCCCACTATTCAGGTCTCCTCACACTGCTGGTGGGTTCCATTTAGTCTTAGGGTGCTGGCAGATTAACCGGGCCTCCCATTGCTGCTGCGCCAGGCCCGTAATCTTCCATGGGCCCCCGTACCGACTCCATCATGCTTGCTTGCCAGGCCCGTGTAATCTGTTCATGGGCCCCTGTACCTACCCGCCTCCTCATGCCTGCTGTCCAAGGTCCAGAAGTGTGTCATGGGTCCCTGTACGGTCCTCCCATTGCTGCAGTCTCCTTCGCCACACTCTCTGCATGTGTCCACTTACAGGTCCTCCCTCACACTGCTGGGGAGAGAGTGTTCCATTTTGTCCATAGTCGTGCTGTATGGTCCTCCCATTGCTACTGCCACCAACCGCCACACTGTGGCTCCACACTCGGGGTTTAGCCCTGTGACTGCCCAAATGAGTGAAGTGTGCGGTGATATCTAAGATCGAGCGGCACTCATCTGCATGTCATACTGTAAGCTGTGACAGTATTATTTCTCTTCCATCCCAGCAGACTCCAAGAAGGGCATTTAAATTAAAAGGTACAGTGTTCAGGCACTTTAATATAAAGGCTCACTGAAGCCTTAGAAACACCCTTTTTATAAGTTAAATTCGCAGCGAATAAATACGACGCGAATCGAAAATTATTATTCCGCGAAATACGGCGAATCAGCCCGAATTCGAATTTTTTGAATACTACGCTCATCTCTATTTGTAATGTAACTGTAGCTCCCTGTTGATCCAAAACACTTTGAGCCATTGAATTGTACGCATTTCTAGGGTTGATAGGACTTGTTGTGCTTCTTGTGTCCCCTAGAAGACATTCTTGCATGGTCTCCCACCCCTATCCAAGTTCTCTCCTGTTGTTTCTCAGGGGTTAATTTTCTCCGGGCTTTTCTCCTGCAGGGGTAGAGGTAATTTCCTTATTGTGCTAGTATTCGCACATGCTTGGGAGGCTTTTACTCCCCCCCTTTGAGCGAATTTACTCCTCATCTCTTTGAGCTTTTACCACTGAGTTTGCTATTAATACACGGCTGCTGTATTATCTGTCCCCAGGAAAGACTTTTCCTCCTATTAATTACTTTGAAGCAGAATGATCTAATCGATTCCACTAGGCCGCTGAGAATCACTGAGAACCCCCTGAATACAGTCCTCCGACCCCCCTAATACTCAGGAGTGCATTTAGACTATAACATTAACAGCAGATGAATCACAATAAAGAAAGTCCTGCCATTGCTCACGTTAACTCACCACCCCCTTTCATATCGGCAGATCTGGATCTCGTCCTCACAGGGCGCACACTGTCCCAGCTGTTACCACCCCCGCCGAGCCCGACTCCAGATGGGGTTAGATAGGTTAGATAAATTTAATGAAGGGTCTCTGGTTCTTTAACATCTGGGGTGTCTCCAGATCTCCCAAG